GAGCAGGACTCAGTTTCTTTCTCCGGGGAAGCTGAAAGGCTGAGTCCCCCCCAGTGGGATTTGAACTTGTCTCTCCTGGGAATCCGTGAGCATTACCCCCAACTCCTTCCCTCCCCCCCACTATCCCCACTGTGAAATCGGGGCAGCCCTGTGCTGGGCAGCAGACATCCCTGTACATCCAGAGCGGAGATGCAGCTGCCTCTGGGGCTCGGTGTGTAGAGTTGCCAACAGTCCCTTATTCCCGCATCTCAGTACAAGAAGACCAGGAGTTGCTGAGTGTTGCAAAAAACAGCAAGAAACACCCCTGGCGAAGAGAGGTGAGTGCTGCTTAGTATTAATATTAAAAATAGTGATGAGGATAATACCGGAGGAGGGGTGGAGCAGGGGTGCTAAGAAAACAGTCCCTTCTTTCAGAAATACAACGTTGGCAACCCCAAATGAACAGCGGCACAGCGGTTTAGGACAGGAAGTGAAGGGAGTGGGAATTTTAGAGCGGCAGAAATTGACCAAATAATCCCTGCAATTTATTTCAACTCCTTGTGTCTGTGCCTTGGACTGGGGGTGGGGGGCATCTGTGCCATGCCCTGGGGGGCTGCACGAGGCACGTCTGGCACATCCTGCTACCTCTTCTCCCCTTCTGGATGCTAGTGGTGGGGTGCGGGGGGGTGTGTGGAAGAGGTGCACCAGCTGACTAGTCTTGTGCTGATCCCATCTGAGCTCCACTACTCCGTACCAGAGTGGGGCCAGTGCCCCGGCATCTCCTGCATCAGAGCCGGCTCGCAGGCTGGTGGCTGTGTTTAGTGCCTCCAGGGGATTTCCTTCCTGCCTCTGCTGCACCAGCCTGGTCAGGGACACACACAGGACGTCCCAGAACTGGAATCCCGGCCCCTTGCACCGGAGCTTGGGGGATGGGCCAGGAGGAGGCTCTCACCCCCCGGACTGTTCAGTACAAGGCCAGAGACTTCTCTCTGATCGTCCTCTAGGAGCCATGCCAGGCCTCACCAGCGCCCCTCCCACTTCAGAAGAGCCAGAGATGTTAAGTCCAGAAGGGACCATTATGTCCTAACCTGACTTCCTGCACAACTTAGGCCAGGTAACCTCCGCCACTGCCCCCTGCATCCAGCCCATATCTTGTGATTGAGCTAGAGAGCAGGTTTTAGGAGCCCCCAATCTTGATCACGATGGAGCAATTTCTGACGAGGATGGGATCAGCTTCCCTCATGGCACATCCTCTGTTTGAAACCCAGGTCCAGTGATGGTTGTTAAGGTGCCTAAAGAAGGAGCCCATAACAGACAAGCTCTTAGTGGCACCACAATGTCAAAACCTGGATGGGGGTGTCGTTTGGGGAACCCACACCCAAGGAACCGATCGAGATTTCATACTCCGTTCGATCGGAGTGCTGAGTGCTAGCAGTGTGTCTGGTGACGGCGCGGACTGGATCTTTGCTGCTCGCTGGTGGTGCAATGTGTCCTTCTCTGCAGATGATGCGTCTTCTGTTGGCGCGTAGGCCCCAACGACCGATAAACGTCCACAACAATGTTGGACAGAGAATTTCAGCCCCACGCTCCCAAGGGCTCCAAGATGCTGCCCACCCTATGGGTAGAACGGCTCATGGCAGAAGATCAAGGTCCAGAACCTTGGAGCTGGGCCCCCAGACCCGCTTGGGCAAGTGGGGTCGTGTACTCTGGAGAACACCACTGAGTTCACCTCCATAGGCTGCAAGCACAGTTCAAACAGTTACCGCAAAGTGGACGTTCTTCTATGAACAGGTTTCGCCGCCTCCTGCACAAAGTGTATGTCTCGCCAATCATAGAACTGGCAGGGACCTCGAGAGGTCCTCTAGTCCAGTCCCCTGCACTCACAACAGGACTAAGTATTATCTAGACCATCCCTGAGAGGTGTTTGTCTAACCTGCTCTTAAAAACCTCCAGTGATAGAGATTCCACAACCTCCCTAGGGATGCAAAACCGTCTTTGCACTGAGCCAGAGTTCGTGATCTATCCCACCTGTGTCATGCCTTCACTGCTGCACCAGTCAGAAACCAGGACCCTCTCACCGGCTGACTCGTCAGTGCCAAATCCTCAGCATAAAGTGGTTTGACTTTGTGCGAAATGTCTCAATCTCTTCACAACGACTGGGCCTTCCTGCCACCGCTCATCGTACCCAAAACAGCAGTGCAGGCTCTTCGGCTAGCGCACTCCCAAAGTGTCCAGCGACACGTGATGGGGTGCATGCCTGACCCTGCCTGGCACCACCCGCAGCACCCTCCAGGACTTGTGGATTTGTACAATTCAGCCAGGGCTGGAAACGTCACTGCATGGCGCTTGTGTGATGCCAGCTACCGTGGCCAGTCCGGCTGGCATGAGGCTCCTTAGTAGATTGTACCTGTTTGAGGATGATGCTTGTGATCAGCAGACGCCGTCCAGTGGAGAATCCACCGCACCCCGTGGGAGGAACAAAGGCTCCTCTCATAGAATGAGGCTCCCCAGCCCAGCCCCGCCCCAACATTGCTCGGACCTCAGCTCCCCTGAATCCCAGAGTCCGCCCTGCCCCATCCTGGCGGGCAGCAGAGCCTTCGCCATCAGGGCTCCCGCTGGCCCTGCCCCTGGGGTGCCCTGTCCTGATGGCAAATCGCAAGGAGAAGTTGCCTTGAGCGCCTGGGCCGGCGTGGAGTGTGGGGCACAGTTCTCTGACAGTTGCTGACTCCCAGGACTTCTTCCTCCCTTGGCCTGTCTCGAGGCCCCTTCCTGGACTTGCTCCTCCGCAGACTCTTTGCCCCTTCCTGGGCTCTGCAGAGTTCTCTGCAGCGCTTTCTCCCCGGAGGCCCCGTTCCCATCAGCCTCTCCCAGGCTGTCTGTGTGTGTGTCCCTTTCCTCCAGAAACCCGACGCCTGGGCTGCCTCCCTGGGGTCTGTCCCTTTTGTCCAGGCTCATCACAGGAGCCGGTCCTGCCCTGGGGCTTCCCAGCATCTCTCCTGGCCCTTTGCTAGAGCTCCCTTCCCAGGACAGCATCCACAGGAGCTCCAGGCCAAGCTCCCTGCCACGGCCCTGATCCTTCTGGTACGTGTCATCCTGCCCCTCTCAGCTGGGCTGGCTGCCCTCCAGGTGCAACGCAGGGCACCCATTGCCCTCTGCTCGGTCCTTTCTCTGCCAGCGTGAGGCACACGTCCCGCACAGCCTGGGACCCCTGGAAACAACTGAGGACCCAGCTAGGACATGAGCGGCTCGTTCACTCAGCTGCCCTCGGGGAGAGCTGGCCCTGAGCATTCCCAGGGCATCTCAGAGCCCTGCACAGATGCTAACTGCTGCATCCTCATGACCGCACAGCATGGCCGGACGTGCCGTTATCCCTGGTAACCAGTGCTTAGCCACGGGGAGCCAGACGCAGGGCTAGCACGTGAACCCAGAAGTCCCGGGCTCTTAGCCCCAAGACTTCGCTGTAACTTCATCTCCAAGCCTGGGGCCTCGGGCAGAGCCGGCGGCAGCTCTGGGAGGTCAGCCATGAATGGAAATGTGTAGCAGAGACAGCAAGGGACATGCATGTGTTACGTTGTACGCGGCATAGTGCCCCTCAGGACACGGGAGCTGGAAAAGAGCCAATGGTCTCTGAGGGGAAGTGATCCATGTGGATCCTATCTCCTGTGTTCCTGGAAGCTACCAGACGCCTGTCTAGCCTCCTGGCTAGGACACACAGGCGGCGGTTGCATCATGCATGGGCTCAAGGGAACAGGTCATGCTGTCCCCTTCCCGGCTGGAGCTATGTTTTTAAACAATTCCCTGGGACGCTCCTGCTTTTGCAAGCCTGATAACATCCCCCCTTCCCCTCCCGACCCACCCATCTGCTGCTGTTGGAGAAACCCCCTGGCTGCTTTGGTTCCTCCAGGGTTTTCAGTGGAGCTAAAAATAAGGCCGTTGGTTTATTTCCCAATAACAACTCCAGCTGCGCTGCTCCTAAATGCCTGTTCCCCAGGATTCAGAACAGACATTCATGGCTCAACGTCCCCCAGCCCTGTTGCTGGACTGATGACATTGCAGAGGGACCCCATTTCCCTGAGGGGGGACTCCTGTGCAGCATCGAATCCCCCAGGTCATGGCGTGAAAACCCAAGTAGTGCTAGTAACTCAGGCACCCTCTTGGCCGGACACGCTGCATTCCCACCCACCTGCTGCTCTGTGCAAAGGAGCCAGAGACGATTTCCTCCTGCGGTGGCGGGGAAACGCCCCCTCAGACGCTAGGTCTGTGTCTGTGCAGCCCCACGAGCCCCAGCTTGGTGCAGAGGGCAGGGCAGGTCCAGCCATGCTAGTTCAGTCCGTTCATCCCTTCTCCAACTGTGAGGCCCCTCAACCCCCTGCTACAGCACCCCAGCCCGTGGTACCACCCCCCAGCTCTGTCGATGCCCCTTGATCCTTAGGGGCAGGTCCCCCGCTGACCTGGCCCTTCGGACGCACGTACCCACTAACCTCACAGGCAACCCAGCAACTGCTGCTGCTCTGCAGTGAGGTCGCGGGGTGCACCCGGGGAGCAGAGCCGGGATTGTTCGTGTGGCTCATCGTGTGGGCAGCGTGCTGGGCCCGGGACCCAGCTCAGACGGGCTCTGCAGGGGTGGGGATGTATTTTCCTTGGGGGGCAGCCGGCTGGGTGCCCTTCGCTCCCCTGTGCCCTGGGCTTTCCTAGCACACTCTGAGGAGAAGCCCCGTGGGCGGCCGCATGCTGGCTGGTGATGTCACAGGAAAACCCACCCAGCCAGGGCTTGCTGGGAGCCGAGCCCCGGGCTGCCCCGGCCCCTTGCAGACTCTCCCTAGAATTGAACAAGACCCAGAAAAGGCTGCGAGGTTCCTGAACACGCCGCCCCTGCTGGGAGCCGGCCCTGGCACTGCCAGGAGACGGGGCTGGAGTCTGGCACACCTCGCAGAGCTCCGCTGCGGTTCGACGGCCGAGCCCAGCCTTTGGGACAGGCCCGGCCCATGCCAGCCAGAGCCCGGGGAAGGGACAGACGCCATGAGCCAGTCCCTGACAGACGGGGCGGAGCTTCCTGGTGCAGCTGCATCCAGAGCCAGGGTTTCCAGCTCCCCTCCGGCAGCAGCTGGCGCTGGGTGCTGCCAGACAGGCAGAGGGGCCCCGGCTGGCAGCTCCTCTCTGCCCCATGTGCTCCCCCCGCCCTGGTTCTCTGGCAGCGTCCCCAGATGGTGACCTTTTCCCCAGCCCCCTGCTCGCGTCCGTGTCGCCCCCACCTGGGGCTGCAGCGGCTTCGTCTCTTGCCCCCGTCCGTTCGCGTGCAGGGCGCTGAGGCTGCGCACAGCTGCACTGTCAGCGCTGGGAGGAAACCTCGAGGCAGAGCCCCCCTCCTCCCCCCTCCCAGGGGAACCCCCTGCCCGCACCAGCGTTTAGCGCCGGGCCAGGGAGCCCTGGGTGGTTCCCCTGAGGCCCTCCCCACAGCCCAGCCTGCTCCCCCAGGGTGCCCCCGCTGTGAGCGCATGTGCGGCACTGGCAGGGTAGAGAGGCCTGGCCGGGATGGGGCAGGTCCTCAGCTGGGGCCAGGACTGAACCCGCTGGCCCAGCGCAGCCTGAGAGGCCACCCCGCATCCCAGCATCCCCAACTCCGAATCCCCCACCCCTAGCGGAGGGGCGCTGGGCACTCACTGTGCTGCTGGCTGTGATTCCCCAGGGGCCAGGCTCGGGAGGGACATGTGATTGCCGCGTGCCTCGGTTTCCCCCGTAACATGGGCGTGATGGAGCTTACCTGACCCACTAGGGGGGAGGGTAAATCCACAAATGTGTGTGAGGCTCAGGGCCTGCGGGGACGGGGTGGGGGGGCATGGAGAAGGGTGTCCAGCCAGCCTGGGGTGGGTCACTGCTGGGGTCTGGGTACAGGAATGGGGGAGCTGGGCACACAGACATGGGGGGGGAATGACAAAGGGAGTTGGGGTTCGCAGCGAGCTGCCTTCCCCCAGAGGGGTTGTCCAGCTTCTGCCATGTTCTAAATATCCAGCCCTCTTCCTGAGAAAGCAAAACAAAACACTCCCTGGTTTTATGTAGGACCTACGTTATTGGGATGAAATCACAAGGACCAGGTGCCTTTTGTTGCCTGGTCCCAGTGGGCCCCCGATGCTCTCTGACAAACTTTGATTCAGCCTTTTTTAAACTGCAGCCCCCCCGTGGAACTGGCACATATGGGGAGCGTGCTCGGCTCCCACCTCCCTGCCTGGCCGCATCCGTCTCCTAAGAGCCGGAGCCAGAATGTGTGTCAGGTCCTGCCTCGGCCACTGACTCACTTCGGGGCTTCTGGCGGTCGCTGACCCTCCCTGGGCCTCTGTCCCTGCAGCCGGAGCCTGGGGGCAGTCGCATGTGGGGTGCAGCCCAGCCTGGCAGAACGTGGGAGTGGCACGGAGTGATATCCCAGGCCCCCTTGGGAGCAGGAACCCTGTCTCCGGAGTGGGGAGGAGCCAGGTATGTGTGGGGGGCTCACTGGGGCAGGGGGAGGGCTATTTGGACACTAGCAGACTCATAGTCCTGCTGCCAAGGTCGCAGACACTCGCTCATCGTTGGTGAGTCACTGCCCAGCACGGCCTCGTTCCCTGATGCCACGTGGGGGCCGGGCATGGCTGGGCTCGCGTGGTGCCTGCTGTTCCCCCTCTCTGAGTGCGGCCTGGGGACGAGCGTCTCCTTGCTCAGCCCAGCGTTGGGGGTTACTGCTGCCCAGGGCTCCTGTGTTTCCCTCGCACCAGGCTTTGGCAGAGCTGTGCCTGCTGCACGGGGCATCGCCCCTCCTGGCTCCCGAGGTCCCGGGCCCTCCAGCACGGTGCCCCTGTTCTGGGGGGGGGCAGAACCCATCTCTGGGATGGCAGCGACCAGCCTATGTGTATCGTCGGGGGCTGAGAGCCATTGAACCAAACTGTAAACCCTGGATATGAAGGAAACTACTTCAAGCCAGGGGTGCCGCAGCCCCTCCCAGTTCCAGCACCTATGCCCCCCCGGCCTGTTTGCCGCAGGTCTTTGTCCCTCCAACAAGGGGAACGTTTCCCCCATTGTGCTGGGGCACCAGTTTAACGTGGATGAGGGAGCAAACGGTGCTGCCCCCTGGCCCCCCTGCCCTGCTCGTGGGGCAGAGCCCTGGCTCCCTTCCACCCAGCGGCAGCCGGTGCCCCCGGGCCGGTGCCCTTTGCCCCCGTCCGTGGGAAACACGCTTCACGCTTGGCCTTTTAGAAAAGAAACTTTATTGGTCGGGCTGCTCACCAGGATGCAGTCATAGAAAATGGATAAAGCTCCACCCAGCTCCCATGGCCCCCAACTCATCACCTTGGGCACGGGAGGGCCCAGGACTCGCTCTCTGCCCCATGGACACGCTCTGCTCCCTCTCTCCGAGGTCAGAGATGCTTAGTACGGCACCAAACCCTGGTGGCCTTGGGCTGCTCGAGCCAAGCGCCTGCCCGTGCCCTGGGAGTCACTTACTCTGAGCTACTGCTTCTGTGTAAGAAAAATATATCTGTAAAAAACAATAGATGGGCCCCAGGAAACAGACAGAGTGTGAACAGCCCCCTGCCCTGCCCGCTCCTCCGTCAGCCAGCACCTCCCCTGCCACGGGCTGGGCTGCACAGGGGGGCAGCGGGAGTGCGGGGCGCGGCCAGTCACTAGGTCCCCACACACATGCTGAAGGACTGCCCTAGGCAGAGGGGCGAGGGTTCGGCCTGCCCTGGCCTGGGGGGCTGCAGAACATCTGGTTTCTCCGCCTGCTGCGCGGGGTGCCCGGGGCGAACAGTGAAGGGCAGCTCCGGCAGTGAGCACAGATCCCAACCGAGGGCAAGCAAGGCTCCCCTGCCCCCCGGGGACCGCCACTGCCAGGGGCCTGGCATCCCCCCACAGTGGTGGTGCCGTCATGGGGTTGGCAGGGAAGGGCAGAGCATGGCAAAGGCCCATCCAACCCCATCTCTTCCTGCCCATCCCTGGGGGCAGCACAGGGGTCCAGAGATGCCTCCTCGCTGCTTAGAGAGAACTCACCAGGGAGCCTGGCACAGAGCCCAGCTGCTGGGGCCGTGCCCACTTTGGCCTGGCATGACTGGGCAGGCTGGGAGCTCCGCTGCAGGGGAAGGACCCTGGGGGTGGGAGTGGGACGGGCAATAAGAAAGAAAATGCTCTTAACAAAGAAGCAAGTTTATATATTGTGGCTACGTTAACAACAAACCTCTGCTCTCCTGTGTGTCACGTGGCAGTCAGGACGGCGGCCGCATGTGCCAGGGGCTGGGCTGTGCCCAGCGGGTATGAACTAAGGGAAGGATAGGCATGAACACAAGCCGAACCTCCCCGTGTCCCCTGCCACCTGGGGGGCTGCAAAGGGGAGGGAGTTGGGAATTGCCAGCCCCAAAGCCGACCTCAGCTGGCCAGGAGACACACGGTGTCCCAGCACACGCGGCCCTCACTCCGTTCTGCCGGGAGCCTGCGAAGCAGTGGCGGTGCGTGCGGATAGGAAAGCTGGTGCTCAAGCGACAGTGCCCCATCCTAGAACTGCGCAGCAAGTGGGGAGGCTGAGGGGATACGCAGGGCCCTGAGCCTGAGCCGTGCCGGGACTCCCTGCAGAGACGCCGCTGCTCGGGATCGGGCCCACAGACCCGTGTCAAGACTGCTCTCTGGCTGGCCAAGAGCCCTCCTTGCTCTGTCCCCTTGCTGTGGCATCAGCACATCCTCCAGCCCTCCTGGAAATGACTCACAGCCGCACCCTGGGCCTTCCAGCACCCTGGGCTGTCCCCCAGCCAGTGAGCGTGCACCTCCCGGCCCGCTGGGCCCTCCAGCGCCCCCCATCTGCACCCTCCCCCGGCTAGTGAGTGTGCACCTCCCAGCCGCACTCTGGGCCCTCCAGCACCCCCCACCTGCACCCTCCCCTGGCCAGTGAGCGTGCACCTCACGGCCTGCTGGGCCCTACTCCCAGCCTGCACACTTTCCCCCGGCCAGTGAGCATGCACCTCACGGCCTGGTGAGCCCTCCAGCACCCCCCACCTGCACCCTCCCCTGGCTAGTGAGCGTGCACCTCACAGCCGCACCCTGGGCCCTCCAGCAACCCCCACCTGCACCTTCCCCTGGCCAGTGAGCATGCACCTCCCGGCCTGCTGAGCCCTCCAGCACCCCCCACCTGCACCCTCCCCTGGCTAATGAGCATGCACCTCCCAGCCTGCTGATGCCACATGGTACAGGGCTCGCTCTCCGGTGACGGGGTGGGACACCCGACTCCACACAGCTCCCTGCAGGTGACCGTGAGCCCGCTGGAGCAAAGCGGTTCTGGGCCCAGCAGGCAGACGGTCACCGCGCTGTCACGGGCACTGCAGACACACACACAGGAGCGTGCGGCACATGCTGAGCTCTCCATTACTCTGGGGCAGTGCCAGTAAGGCCTGGAGTGGCCCCGGTGTAACTGGCAGCAGTGGCGGGGTCCTGTGTGTGTGTAGGATACCCGCATTGCCAGGGGATCTCGCTGCCACCCAGGCAATGTGGTGCCCATTGTAGCCGAGTGGTGCACAATGCTGGCTTCTCCAGAACTGGCCCGTTAGCTCTTTGAGCCCTCTGGGGTCAAGAAGTGTCAGGGAGCCCCTCCCAGCCCGATGTGGCATTGCCCACCCTCACACGTGCTCTGCCCACCAGTGGGATCGGCTTAACCCTTCCCTCGCCACATGCTAAGACATGTCAGAGATCCACCTTCCACTGGAGATCTTCCAGACCGCATGGCCCCAGGAGCTGGCGTTCGGGCAGGGGTGGGAAATGTCTCTCTGCTGCTACTAGCCAGCTGGGCTCCTGCATTCCCCTCCGTCTGCCTGTGGGGATGGCGGCTCGGGCTGACAAATGGACGGGGGGGATCCCCAGCGCTGGGCAGTGTGCCAGGCAGAAAGCATTCTAGACATCAGGTCTCAGAGAGCTGCAAAGAGGGATCTTCCCAGGTGTACAGCAGTTATCTTGGTTTTAGCACGCTCCCAGCCGGGTCCCTGGCGGCTAGCAAGCTCTCACAGGGCCACTAGCAGGAATGGTCTCCACAACGAGTGTAAGAAAAACCGTCCTGTGTTCCTAACTCCTCTGTGTGCTAAAACTAAAATATAAACGACACCTCGTCCGGGACGGCAGGGGATCGGCTTGGACGTCCAGAGGAATAATGATACATTGGGTACACGTTTCCCGGGACGCGTGGGGCAAAGAGAGATCTTGCAGTGTGAAAGGTTACATGTTCAGCCGTCCATCCTGTGCCACCGCCCGTCCTACTCACTGTCGCTCTTGTCCACCAGCACTGCGTCCGACTCCTCCGTGATCTCCAGCAGCGTGTGCATCTCAGGGCTCTCCTCTCTCAGCAGCTCCGTGTTCTCGGCCTCTTCTCCTCCCACCTCCACCATCTCCGTGGCTTTCACCTCCACCTCGCCCTCTCTGATCTTCTTGACATAGAAGGTGAAGGGTGGCACCTTGTAGACTGCCGTCTTGGACCTGGCGTAGACGGGGTGGTCGGGAGTGAAGGATTTCTTCAGCTTGTCCCGAGAGGTTTTCATCTTCTCCCTCCTCTCAGTGGTTACGATCTTGGTGCCCAGCTTGTTCATCCTCTTCTCCAGGTTGTGCCGGGTCTTCTCCAAGTTGTGTTTGGTCTTCTCCAAATTCTCCTTGGTCTTTAGCTTGGTCTTCTCCATCTTCTCCTTGGAGAAAGCCTTCTTGAAGTCGTCCACCCTCTTCATGCCACTTCTCTTGATCCGCTCTGCCCGGGACTCCTCGATGATCTCTTCAACCTCCACCTCCTCATCTGAGGAGAGCTGGATGCGGTCCTCATCCACATGGTCCTCGTCCGCGGGCACCTCCGCACCCTCCTCTTCCTTCTCTGCCTCCTTCAAAGACTTGCTGATGCTCAGCTTGGCCGGGAGCTTCACTTCATCCTGAAAACGAAGAGATGGAATCGGTAAGACACGTGCACTGTAAGGACCCAGCCCTGCAGAGCTACAGTGCCAGGCCGCCACCCAGCAGCAGCTCTTAGCCCCTTGCGCCCCACTTCCCACAACCCTCTGTGGGCACAGCCCAGGGGACGTTCTGCCTCAGGCGTTGGTCAGGCAGCAGTCCCGTGGCTCCCGATTGGCTCTTTGCCCTATGGAAACCCAAGGGGCAGTCCAGGAACTGTCTGGGCCACAGCGTGGTGAATCTCCTGGTGCTGCCAGGCTGGTCCTGTCTCATGCTCTTGAACTCCTTGCTGGACCTCGGCTTGTTTTGGGCTTCGCCTCCTGACTTGGACTCTGACCCCTGGTATTGACCCCAGCCTGGAACTGACCACAAACTCCTCGGCCACCCCCACCCTCAGGCTCTGACCCTGGGCCCACACTGCCCCCGCGGCTCCCAGCCATCGAACCTGGGTTGAGCAGCTCTCGGAGTCACTGCCCAGCTAATCGCACTTCCGAGGTCTGAGATTCATGGCTAGTCTGCCCTTGGGGACAAATCTGGCCTTCAGTGCCTGGCCCCCGGCTTGGACTCCTCCCCCGCTTTTCACCCCCCTGGTAAATTACTCCGCTCTCGTCCACAGCAGCTCAGGGCTCTTGCTAAATTCAAGCTCAGCCTTATCCGCCCTGCACACTCCGGCCTGGGTGGCAACCCCCCCCCCCCCCGCCTTTACCTGCACAGACCCCTGCCGGTGCTGGAATGGGGGCTCTGTCCCCTCTGTCCTGGCTCCCCCCTCCCCAGTCTTCCAAGCCCTTCACTAGCATCCTCTTCATCCCAGGACTGCTTGTACCACTCACCCGCCCGCCAGTCAAAGCTCCCAGAGGACTCTCCCCTCCAGCCCTTGGGCTCATCTCCCCTGGCTGGCTGGCTCCCTCCCTCCACGCAGTCTGGGGACTCTCCCCGTTCCCCTCTGGGGCATCCTGTGCGCTGCTGGCATCTGCATTCGGCACCGATCCCAGCTTTTCACAGCGCGGGGTTCACTACAGTCACACGACTCAAGGCACAAGCCCTCCCCTCTCACTCACTCACAGACAGCCTCCCTCATGCCAGGGCAGCCGCTCCTGATTAACACCGGCCTCAGAGACGACTGATTCCAGCCTGTGCAACAGTAATGTATAGGAATTGGGCCGTATCCCTTTAAAGGTGCCACAAGGACTCCTGTTCTTTTTGTGGATACAGACTAACACGGCTGCTACTCTGAAACCTTTAAATAGCTTGTGAGCCCTCTTGTGGTGCTCACCATGTCATATGTTTTACAACCCAGCCAGGACAGCAGTGCTGGGTCTGCACACTCGGCCATGCCCTGGTGGTTTCTTGTTGTGCAAAGAGCAAAAGCTACACCACAAAGCTCCCATGTTTGCCTCTCACCCCGGCTACAAGGCTGGTGTCTCATCTCCGCAGCCCAGACCGAGGGGCCGTGCACACTGCAAACAGAGCCAGGCAGCAGCAGGGGAGCAGAGCTGGTGTCTTGTCCCCTCTGCTGGAGCCGCCCAGGTTTCTGGCTCGTTCTGCAGAGCGAGAGGGGCACGAGGCAGGAGCAACAAGATAAAACACCAGGTGCGACAGTCTAAGCCCGTGGCCTTGTTGCCTTGGGGTGTGGGAGCTGCCCCGGAGGAAAGGATGCTGCTAGTTATTTGTCCCCTGCCTGTCTTTGGCCCTGTCCCATTCCATCCCCCTGGCAGGACCACACCCTGCAGCTTGCTTGTTCCCTTGTACTGCTGGGGAAACTACCTCCCAAGCAGATGCCTCCTGTCCCGTCCCGAGGCTGCTGGTGAAGTCACATCCCTGCCCCCACGCCACTCGAGGCGGTGTCTGTGCATTCCCCAGAGCCATGCTGAACAGAGCGTCCCAGCACCGGCCCCCTCCCTGGGAAGGGGCAGAGACCTTGCTCGATTTCCCAGCGCTCACACAGCAGCGAGTCACTGGCTGACCACTGAGATCAGCTCCCCTGGGAACACAGGAATTCAGGCCCCCTAGAAATCACCCATGAGCTGTCATCGAGGGCACCTGCTGGGCTTTCCCCTGGGCGAGTCCTCTCCTCTGAGCGTGGGAAAGCCCCGTGTCTGGCCTCGTGCCTGTGGCAGCTGGGATGGGAGCGGAGGGGCTCCTGCCCCCCAAGGCTTGCGTTCTGCCCCATTCTCACAACGCCAACACACGGGAGCCCTTCCCCTTGGACCTGGGCACTGGCCCTGGGCCTTGTGGGGGAAGGGGAAGTGAGCCAGGGAGATTTCCCCCACTCCCCCGAGAGAAGTGATCTGTGCCCGGCCTCCCAGCACAGCCAGAGACAGCTGCCTTCGAGTTAGAGAACGATTCCAAGCGCCCCCTGGTGCGCGGCGAGGGGCATCCCAACAGCACAGAGCAGCCGGCGGGGCGCTGAGGGGGGTGCCCCTTGGCACGGGGCAGGGGCTTCAGCATGTTTCCCCTTCCCCGGCAGCCGATGCCCCAGCGTGAGCAGGTGAGCGTGCTGCACACGGCAGTAAATCCACAGCTGTAACAGCAACGGGCCATGAGCAGTGTGTTGTCCAGGGAGGTTAGAAAGGAGATTGGGGGCCAGGACTCCTGGGTTCTATTCCCAGCTCC